CCCAATCTGACTCCTTTTACCTTTGTTCCCTCTAACCCTGTTCCAATCCTTTTCCCTCACCCAACTCCTGTATTGGTCTTCCCCACAAGCTCCTCTCTAGAACTTGCTAGGAATTTCTGCCAAAAACAGTTTTAATTGGAAATGCTGTTTTGCCACCCAAATCTTACCCAACATGCCGAGTTTTATAAAATTATCCTTGAGTAAGGCATTGTGGCTCCATAACAAAAATTCTGCTAGGAAAGGAAGAGACCACACCAGAATATCCAAGAGCTTGCCATTAGGGGAAGCTCGCTATGTGAGAAACAGGTTCAAATAATCTCTATTTCATCACATTTGGGATTAGGGCTTTGAACTAGACTGTCACACATTCTAGGTGAATGTTCTAACTACTGAGCAAGAGCTTACTTCTTTTCCTCTGCCATCTTCCTTTCTACTCCTGAAAAATGTATTATTTTATGTATGCAGGTAGAACAGTTTCAGAGATTAGGTTCCTAGGAGATATGGGTTCTGTCTATTCTAGATTGGACAGACCCAAAGCTACAGCATCCTGACTCAATGCCAGAACTTCCTGGGGCAGCCCCTTAATTGACATTAATTCTCTATCTGGGAAGGCAGGTTGTCAAATGGACTATGTCCTATTTTGAACAAAATAGGTGCATTTCCCATTTTGGTGTGAGAGTCTCTCTCTTTTTTGGTTAGATACAAAAAGTCTGTTTCATCCCAGTTTGGAATACACAAATTTCTGAAATCCCTGAAAGCTGTGTTTCCCCACTTCTACTCCTTGCCCTTCTGTATCCAAAACAGCCTACCTCCTCCCTTCCATAGTACTGTAGTTATGAGTATTGGGGTCATTACAATAAAAAGGAGAGCATCCTCTTGTTTTTGGTTACATTGCCCAATGCCACCGTGGTCCCAGGCTCTGAGAAAAGCTCATACCAGCGAAGAATGTGTTGAGCAGCCTAGCATGCTCAACACATCCTTACAAACATGGGAATATGCATGTGCAGTGTGATTAGAAAGTAAGAAATAACCTTGTGCACTTGCTCTGTAAAGATGGACTCTTCAAAGAATAATTCCACCAGTTTTCTATTTGAGCAAGTACACAGTGTAATGTTCAGAGGCTTAAAATTTAGGGTGAATTTCTACAAGGATGGCAAAATGCACTGCCATGAGGGTATCATCCTTGCAAATTTTCAAGTCCCTGTACCCAGTCCTGGAAAGGTTACATCTTCTCAAAGAAACAGTTGTAAGATTCAGAAAAATACTGAAAAAATAAGGAAAACACGTTGAGAAAAACAACACATTTTTCTCTAAAATTATTCTCTAAAATGCATGATTTGTCTTCCTGATATGTTCTAAAAATTTCAGCCCAAATCAGGCGTTTGGCACAGAACACTTTACCCTAACTAGCTAAAGACTAGCAACATTATAAACAACTAGAAACAGGGTCTTAGAATGGAAAGTATTAGCAATCTTAACTGCAGGAGTCACAAACAGTACTTAGTATAATTTAAATGTTACACAGTACCTCCTATTAACCTACATTTAAGAAATCATATTGTCTTATTTTTTTACCTGAAAATCTTCTTTAGATGTGTTTTTGTTATAACCTAAACAAAAAATTCTAACAAGCAGATTTTATTGTCCATCATACACTAGACTCTACCATCCTTCTGCATATATGGAAAAGCTACTCATGGAGAAAACGTCTACTCAAAGCACCACTAAGTAGAATGGCAGAAACTGGCCCAATATAAGCAAATTGTTCTTGTTGTGATATCAGATACCTTATACTAAAAAACCAAAAATAACAACAAAAATGACACACCATTTGACTTACGAGAAGTTTAAAATAGATTCTGCTAGCAGATAAACAGTTAACTGCAATAAATTAGCTATTTAAACAGCAGTGATAAACTAAGATAACAAGTACAAACATACCTTGCCCTTGTGGAACTCCATAAAACTCAGCAGCTATCCTTGCTGCCTCCTTACGGTTCCCTTTTACAATGTAGAAATGACTTAGTATGGCAAGGCTGATTTTAACAAAAAGTTTAAAACAAAAAAGTGAAAGTATAGTAAAGTATACATTGGATAGTTGCTGGGCAAAGGGGCGACTTTCCTCTATGACGGTCATTGCTGCAGCAGACTCTTTGTCAGCACTTCGGTACTGCTTTCAAATGCTCCGATAAGATCATATGGCTCCAGCCAGGCACTCTCAGGAACAGCTGGTCCTGCGGAAAGAAAATATCAGCTGGTCATGATGCCTGGTGCTCAAAATATGGGGATTATTTATACTGTACATAGTATTGAGTTCACTACAGCTCCTCCTGGTCTGATGATATTCAACTGGAGCAGGCTGTCCACTAACACAATTTCCAAGGTTCTAGATTATAATTCTTCCTTTTAAAAGGTCTGTTTCATTTCACAGTGGTATTTTTATTTTGTCGTCTTACTTCTATTTTTAATCATTTAAAAAGATGCCACTGAAAGTATTATTGTAAAAATATTGTATTCCACTCGCTGTTGCTAACAAAAAACAGCTGTTTGTATGTATGAAAGTGAAATGATTTCTTTCCTAAGGTATGTTCTCCCTGCTACTTAGGTATATTTGTTTATTTATGTAAGATCTCTTTTTAAGCTGTCATTTTCGATTTGCTAACATATGAAGGGCCCAAGCAGTAAAGCATTTTTCCTTAAACACAGCAAGCTTGCAATAGCTCTTAAAAAACAAATTTGGGCAAACTTGGGACACCAGTTTTAAGTCTCTCTTTAATTCAGGGATGAATAGAATAGTGGTTATCTGCATGGTTTACATAATTGTTATCTGGAATAATATCAAACAGCTAACAAAAGCAAATCCCATGTTATTTTTTTAGTGAAGATCTGCTGCTCAGAATATTTACAGAATAAAATTACAACGGAAAAAATGATGATAAGCATATAAGAAGGAAAAGTTTTTAATACCTTTATGATGTGAATTTATTCTGCTGTGTCATGTTACCTTAGAGCTAAGATATGGCAAGGTTTACTTGCCAGTTTTGGATATTGGAATGTGAAATTCTCAGCATCTTCAGAGGGAACTGATTTGCTCATCTACTGTAAATCAATTATGAAAATCAGCAGTTACTCATAAGTAATTCCATTACTTATGAGTAACTGCTCATGAGTAAGTGCATGGTTCACAAACTGATATAAACTAAAGAGCAGCCAGATAGAGCAGAATTCTTTTAAGTGAGAGACAACCCCAAAAATAACAGACCAGGACAGAATATCAGATGGTATTATTCTACTTTCTTGATATAGTTTCATAGTTTCTAGGCTCGGAAGTGACCTGAGAAGTTCATCTAGTCCAACCCCCTGCTATGGCAGGAAAGAGTACTGGGATCAAACGACCCCAGCA